AGATGTTAAGATGACTTTAAGTAACAATTTTGAGTTGGGTTATGGTTCTCAAACTTTCTGGCTCCAGAACCACTTTACATTCTTAAAACATTTTAAGGATCTTAGAAAAGTTCGATTTGTGTGGATTATATCTGTTGTTATATTCTATATTAGATATTAAAATTTGAGAAAATCTTCAAAAATTCAAGACTGCACAAGCACAGGAGACATTACCTCTTAGAATGATATCATCACACCTGATGCAACTTCAGGAAAATTCTACTGTACTTTCATGAGAGAATGACAATGAAAAAGATAGATAACATCTTAAAATTACTATGAAAAGAGGGTTGTAGGGCTGGGGATGTGGCTCAATGGTTGACTGCCTGTGAATTCAACCCTCTGTACACCCCTGCCCCCCCCCCAAAAAAAAAAGAATCAGCCCTTACATATTATTTCACTCTACAGTCTCTGCAAAAGCTCCTACCTCTTGTCTTGACCCTCAACTGCCCATGAACCCCTTGGCAGAGTTTCGACCTAGCCAAGCAACAGGGAAGGGTAGGAGATGCAGGGAATGAACACTCCCGCCCAGTTCTCACAGCAGCCGGGCTACCCAGGAGATTTCAGCCTTCCAAGTGGACATTGTAGGGACCCTTTGTTTCTGCAGTGCTGTGGGTGAAACTGGGCTTCATGCATGCTATCCAAGTGCTCTACCACTAAATTACCCCACCTCCCACCCCAGGGAGTTTCCTTATAAACTTTTCCATTATGCAGTTCTTCTGCATTTTTTTTCTTTGTCTTACTCATACCCTTTTCTTACTGTGCCCTAACCATGTCACAGTTGGTCTTCCCAGTGGCTGGCTCTACCAGGAGGTAGGAAGTAGTAGGGAGGATAGGGGCTGGATAGTGGGGAGATGACATGAATTTTAGGATTATAATTTCTGGCCTGTATCTCCTCTTCAGCAGACCTGTTCTTCATTCATCACAACCCTCTGTCCTTGTTGAGCACCCACACCATCTGCCAGGCACTGTTCTGGGTGTGGCATAGGCATACCCCTCAGCCTCAGGGCATCCAAGGGTGTTATCCCAGTGGGGTTAGGACTATTCATATAGCAATAAAGAACGAGTCAGAGGCCATAGGAGACATTGGACAAGCCAGGCACTGTGGCACAATCCTGTAATCCCAGCAGCTCAAGAGGCTGAGGCAGAAGGATTGCAAGTTCAAGCCTCAGCAATTTAGTGAGGCCCTGTCTCGAAATAAAAAATAAAAAGGGCTGGAATGTAGCTCAGTGGTCAAGAAAAGGTGTTTTAGTCAGCTTTTTTACTGCTGGGACTAAAAGACATAATAAGAACAATTTTTAAAAATTTTCAATTTGTTTTTATTAGTTATACATGACAGTAGAATGCATTCATGCACTTTGATATATCATACATAGATGGGATATAATTTCCCATTCCTCTGAGTGTATATGTTACAGAATCATATTGGTCATGTGGTTATAATATATATATACATACATACATACATACAATATTATGTCCGTTTCATTTTACTATCTTTCCTATCCCCATATTCCCTCCCCTTCCCTCCTATCACTTCCCTCTACCTAATCTAAGGTAACACTATTCTTCCTTAGTGCCCCCCTGCCTTATTTTGAATTAGCACCTGCATATTAGAGAAAAAATTAGGCCTTTGGTTTTGTGGGATTGACTTATTTTGCTTAGCATGATATTCCCCAAATCCCATCATTTACTGGCAAATACCATAATTTTACTCTTCTTTAAAGCTGAGTATTATTCCATTGAGTATATATACCACATTTTCTTTATCCATTCACCTATTGAGGGACACTTAGGTTGGTTCCATAGTCTAGCTATTGTGAATTGAGCTGCTATAAACATTGATGTGGCAGTGTCACTATAGTATGTTGATTTTAAGTTCTTTGGGTATAAACCAAGGAGTGGGATAGCTGGGTCAGATGGTGGCTCCATTGCCAATTTTCTAAGGACTCTCTATACTATTTTCCATAGTAACAGACTGCACCAATTTGCAGTCCCACCAACAATGTACCTTTTTCATCACATTCTCACCAACATTTATAGTTGCATGTATTCTTTTTTTTTAAGTTGTAGATGGACACAATACCTTTATTTTATTTGTTTATTTTTATGTGGTGTCAGGGATCGAACCCAGTACCTCATGCATGTTAGGCAAGCGCTCTACTACTGAGCCACAACCCTGGCCCCAGTTGCCTGTATGCTTGATTATTGCCATTCTGACAGGAGTGAGATGAAATCTGAGAGTAGTTTTGATTTGCATTTCTCTAATTGCTAGAGATGATGAACATTTTTTCATATATTTGTTGATCAATTGTATCTCCTCTTCTGTGAAGTGTCTGTCCAGTTCCTTAGCCCATTTATTGACTGGGTTATTTGTTTTTTGGTGTTAAGTTTTTTGAGTTCTTTATATATCCTATAGATTAATGCTTTATCAGAAGTACATGTGGTAAAGATTTTCTCCCAATCTGTAGGCTCTCTCCTCACTTTATTAATTGTTTCCTTTGCTGAGAAGAAGCTTTTTAATTTGAATCCATCCCATTTATTAATTCTTGATTTCACTTTTTGCGCTTTAGGAGTCTTGTTAAGGAAGTCAGATCCTAGGCTGATGTGGTGAAGATAGGGGCCTATTTTTTTTTTTTTTTGTTCTGTTAGGTACAGGGTCTCAGTTCTAGTGCCTAAGTCTTCGATCTACTTTGAGTTGATTTTTGTGCACGGTGAGAGAGAGACATTTAATTTCACTTTGCTACATATGGATTTCCAGTTTTGCCAGCACCATTTGTTGAATAGKCTATATTTTCTCCAGTGAATGTTTTTGGCACTTTTTTCTACTATGACAAAACCATATTTATGTGGGTTTGTCTCTGTATCCTCTATTCTGTACCATTGATCTACAAGTCTATTTTGGTGTCAATATCATGCCGTTTTTGTTACTATATCTCTGTAGTATAATTTAAGGTCTGGTATTGTGGTGCCTCCTGCTTCACTTTTCTTGCTTAGGATTGCTTTAGCTATTCTGGGTCTCTTATTTTTCCAAATAAATTTTATGATTGCTTTTTCTATTTTTTTGAAGAATGTCATTGGGATTTTAATAGATCTGTATAATACTTTTGGTAGTATGGCCATTTTGGTAATATTAATTTTGCCTATTCAGGAGCATGGGAGATCTTTCCATCTTCTGAGGTTTCCTTCAATTTCTTTCTTTAGTGTTCTGCAGTTTTCATTGTAGAGATCTTTCATCTCTTTTGTTAGATTGAGTCCCCGTTTTTTTTTTTTTTGTTTTGTTTTGTTTTGTTTTTTTGAGGCTATTTTGAATGGAGTAGTTTTCCTAATTTCTCTTTCAGTGGATTCATTGTTGATGTATAGGAATGCGTTTGATTTATGGGTGTTGATTTTATATCCTGCTACTTTGCTGAATTCATTTATTAGTTCTGAAAGTTTTCTGGTGGAATTTTTGTATCTTCTAGATATAGAATCATGTCATCAGCAAATAGTGATAGTTTGAGTTCTTCTTTACCTATTTGTATCTCTTTAATTTCTTTCCTTTGTCTAATTACTCTGGCTAGAGTTTCAAGGATGATGTTGAATAGAAGTGGTGAAGAAGACATCCTTGTCTTGTTCCAGTTTTTAGCGGTAATGCTTTAAGTTTTTCTACATTTAGAATGATGTTGGTCTTGGGTTTAGGATATGTAGCTTTTACAATGTTGAGGTATGTTTCTGCTATCCCTAGTTTTTCTAATGTTTTGAACATAAAGATGTGCTGTATTTTGTTAAATGTTTTTTCTGCATTAAGATGATCATGATTCTTGTTTTTACAAGTCCATTAATATGATAAATTATGTTTATTGATTTCTGTATGTTGAACCAACGCTGCATCTCTGGGATGAATCCCACTTGATTGTGGTGCACTATCTTTTTAATATGTTTTTGTATGCGATTTGCCAGAATTTTATTGAGAATTTTTGCATCTATGTTCATCAGGGATATTGGTCTGAAGTTTTCTTTCCTTGATGTGTCTTTGTCTGGTTTTGGTATCAGAGTGATATTATTCCAAACTCATTCAATGAGTTTGGAAGGATTCCCTCCTTTTCTATTTTGTGGAATACTTTGAGGAGTATTGGTGTTAATTCATCTTTGAAAGTCTTGTAGAACTTGACTAAGAATCCATCTGGTCCTGGGCTTTTCTTGGTTGGTAGATTTTTGATGGAATTTTCTATTTCATTACTTGAAATTGATCTATTTAAATCATGTATCACCTCCTCATTCAGTTTGGATAAGTGATATATATCTCTAGAAATTTGTCGATGTCTTCAATATTTTCTATTTTATTAGAGTATAAGTTTTCAAAATAGTTTCTAATTATCTTCTGTATTTCAGATGTATCAGTTGTGATATTTCCTTCATCATTTTGTATTTTAGTAATTTGAGTTTTCTCTCTTTTTCTCTTCGTTAACATGGCCAATAATAACAATTTAAGGAAAAAAAGTTTATTTGGGGGCTCATGTTTCAAGCAGTCTCAGTCCATAGTCAACTGGCTCCATTTCTTAAGGACTCAATGGGAGGCTGAACATCGTGGTGGGAGAGTGTGGTAGAGGAAAGTGGCTCAAGACATGAAGATCAGGAAGGAGAGAGACTCCACTCTCCACATACAAAATATTTATACCCCAAAGGCATACCTCCAATGCCTACCTCTTCTAGCCACACCCTCCCTGCTTAGTTACTACTCAGTTAATCCCTATCAGGGGATTAATTGACAGATTGGTTTAAGGCTCTCATCACCCAATCATTTCTCTGCTAAACCTTCTTGCATTGTCTATACACGAGCTTTGGGGGGACACCATACATCTAAACCATAACAAAAGGAACACACAGTACAACCCAGTTTTAGAGATGACAGGTGGTTGGGAATGAAGTTTTGCTCTGCACCCCTCTGATGTCTACTTGGAACCATGTTTTGTTCACAGGTATATGAACTGAATGGGGAGATCCACGACCAGTTGTGGGTAGTGAGGGCTTACCAAGAAGTGGCTGACGAGTTTAAAAGGACTCATCCTGAATTTATGGGATTCAGACTCATTTTTTCGGATTACAGGTGAGAGAATATGGCTGACGCTGCTAGAGTTGAGAGAACAGGATAGAGGCACTGTGCTGGGAGGGGAGCAGAGACGAGGAGTAAGGTTGGAGGCTGGGGTTTATCAACCCAGGGACTGATGCCACAGGGCTGTGGGTTTGGTGTGTGCATTTTTTTGTGAGTGCAGAAGTGAAGATCTACTTTGAAATCCCTCTAGTTGGGGTCTTCACAAACAAACTGAAATGAAAAACTGTGGCATTTTCCCAGATAATTCTAAACTATGAGGCCACACTGGCCAGGGTGATGATAGGTATGATATTTTTGCCTGAATGTTAGGATAATTGGCCCACATTTTTGCTTCCATTTGTTTATTTGTTTTGGTACCAGGGATTGAACCCAGGTGTGCTTAACCACGAAGCCACATCCCCAGCCCTTTTTTATATTTTATTTAGAGACAAGGTCTTGCTGAGTTGCTTAGGGCCTCAGTAAATTGCTAAGGTTGGCTTTGAACTTGGATCCTCCTGCCTCAGCTTCCGGAGCCACTAGGATCACAGGTGTGCAACACCACACTCAGTCTTTTTTTCCATTTATTGCTGGGGTTTTGCCTAATGTCAGCTGCCTGCTGTGTGTGGCCGTGTATGAGGTCTTGATAGGTCACAGGCCCTGTGTGACACTGGCTCAGGTCTGTATGTGGAGACCCCACAATGGCCATGTGTGCATGATCTAGGGGGACAGTGAAGAAAGACCCACTGCTTCCCCAGTCGTACGTGGAATGCTTTGTAGCTTAATTTTGCCGAATGAAGAGCTCTGCCCTTAAACTGAAGATCTTATGTGGTGTGACCTGTTCCCTAGCCAGAACCATGCAGAAGGCAGGCAAATAGATGTCACTCTGAGTCAGGGGCACCAGTGGGATTGGGTAGGCAGTTCTCCATCTGCTCCACCCACCCATGAGGCTGGGCTGTGGAGAGCCATCAGACTTACCAAAAGCCAACTCCCCAGTCCTGTCCCCAAGTTCTCCTCTTTCCTGTTGGGAACTGCAGGAGCTGAGCCCCTTGCCTGTGTGCTAGTCCTTCCCCCAACCCCAAGAAGAAACTCACAGGATGAACCAACATGATTGCTCCTTGACACCAGTGGTCCCCTCCCAGGGCCAGTGGTAGGAAGGGGTGAGGGCTGACCTGAGGGTCAGTGCCCTCCATGTCCCCTTAGGCTCTGTAAGACGCCATGGATGGGAGTTAGGCAGGACTTCTCACCACCCACAGGACAGAGGATTAGAACAAGTGACCCAGTAGCTGGGCAGAGACCTTTGTGCCATTGTGACTATACCAGCCTTTTGTCACTTAGTACTTTTGTTGTGTGTCTGCTTACCTAACCTGGCCCATGGACTTGAAGGGAGAAGGTACAGAGGGAAGTGAGACAGCTTGGGTCGACGCTTTCTGGAGTGCCCAGGGTTTTGCTGACTTAATCAGCAAATGGCCAAATGGTGACCTGGTCCAGTTCCTCCATCAGGGATTTGGGTGGATTGTAGCATTTTGCAGGCGTCCAGTGGACAGAGGACCTCCACGTTTCATGACCCACCCTGCAGGGATGTAGAGCGTACCTGGAACGGGCCCGATTTTGCCTCATGAAGTGGAATTTTCCCCATGGGTCCCCTTATCCACCTACTTCTCAGAGGCTGTGGGTCTCCCTGGAGCCAACAGGGCTCCTGGTCAGGAATGATTTGGTTGGGCTGGGGTCATGTGTGTGGTTTTGTCAGGGGCTGGCTGCTGAATACTTTGACCTAAGCAAGCTCCAGGCAATGATTCTGTTCATGCTGCCATCTCCCAGCTTCTCTCTGTCTCTCTCTCAGGACCAAAAGCTTGGCTCTCATTGCACATTCTGTCCGAACTGCCATCAGACTTCGAGAAGTATTCCCTGACATCATAGCAGGGTTTGACCTGGTAACCAACTCTGTGAAGAGAAGGGGGGAGTGTGGGGTTGCCTGTGGCAGGCCAAGTAGGCTGTTCTTTGTAAAGGAGACACCTTGTACAGAGCAGTGCTCACCAACACCCTGGGGCTGTGGCTGCCGACCCAGCAGAGCTGGCAGGGTTTAGCACTGACCCTCTCTCAGAGGCTGTGGGTGATGGCAGCCATGGGAGAAAAGAAAGCAGAAAAGCCACATGGCTAAAAAAGAAAGTTCTAGAATAATAAAGGAATTCAGGGAGTTTAGACAACTATGGGCTTGTTCTACATTCCCCTACCTTCCACCCTTTTATTTAGACCAGTGGTTCACCTATGCTGGGTTTTTACAACGGTCACCTCCTATTGTAGTACACAGAAGGGAGCAATTTGAGATGGGGCTAGTAGCCCTGGGCAAGTTCTCCAGGATGGTGGGGCACAGTGGCCCATGCCTGTAATCCCATTGGCTCAGGAGGCTGAGGCAGGAGGATCACGAGTTCAAAGCCAGCCTCAGCAATTTAGTGAGGCACTCAGCAACTCAGTGAGACACTGTCTCTAAATAAAATATAAAAAAAAGGTCTGGGGATATTCTCTGGTTGAGAACCCGTGGGTTCCATCCTCAGTTCCAAAAAAGAAAAAAGAAAAAAAAAATTCTCCAGGATGTGGAATTTGTCCCTTCCATCTCCCTGCCTCAGCCTCTGGAGTTGCTGGGATTACAGGTGTGCACCACCAGCCTGGCCCTACCAGTCATCCTTAAGATTTTGTATGACTTAGGTCTCAAGAAGCAGTGGCAGGGGTAAGAGGAAGGCTGTTCCTAGGCTGCAGTGTATACTGCCAGCAAAGTCAGTCCTGTGCCAAGCCACATGTCCCCTCATGTCTGTCCTGCAGGTGGGGCGTGAAGATACCGGCTACAGTTTATATCACTACAAGGAGGCTCTGATGATTCCAGTCACATATGGTGTTCAACTACCTTACTTCTTCCACGCTGGGGAGACAGGTGAGCTGTAGTGGACACCAGTAGGGAAAAGGGGAGGTGGTCAACAGGAGAGATCCTCATCAGCTCTTGGGGTCCTGTGGCATGCAGGGGCATCATCTCTATGCCTTGTGGCATAGGCCACAGGCACTGTCAGACCCTTGCCCATTTTCAAAATCCTGTCAGCTGACTGTGGAAAGGGGATAAAGTACTCAATGACAATATATTATCAGGTACTTCATGTATATTATTTCTATTTCTCACCCCAATCTTCCTGGGAAGTGTTTCTATTTTTACTTTATAGACTAGTGTTACTGGTCCATAGTTAAAAAGAGTTGGTGAGTGCTGGGCGGGTGGCCCACACCTATAATCCCAGYGGCTTGAGAGGTTGAGGCAGGAGGATTGCTAGTTCAAAGCCAGCCTTGGCAATCTTAGGGAGGCCCTAAGCAACTTAGAGAGACCTTATCTCTAAATAAAATATAAAAAAGGGCTGGTGGGCTGGGGTTGTGGCTGAGCAGTAGAGTACTCACCTCGCACATGTGAGGCCCTGGGTTTGAGTCTCAGCACCACATAAAATAAATAAAGAAAATAAATGTATTGTGTCCAACGACAACTAAAGAATAAATATTTWAAAAAAAAAAAGGCTGGGGATGTGGCTTAGAGGTTAAGCACCTGTGGGTTCAATCACCAGTACCAAAAAAAAAAAAAAAAAAAAAAAAAAAARATCTGTGAGTAGTAAAACCTGAATTTGAATCCTTTCTGGTGATTTCCATCTTATAAATGAGTTATGATTGAGAAGTTAACTGACATACTCAAAGTCACACTAAAACTGACAGGACTGGGACTAGAACCAGGGCTGCTCTGTCCTCTTAGGGTATTGTCCACACTCATCAATGCCAAAGAGGAAAATCACCCTAAGAAGCCATAACTGCTATTCTTTCTGAAATATCTTTAGCCTAGCTATGTCTTTGTTCCCCAAAGCTCAATCCATGGGCTCACTCAGACAACTTTAAGTGCCTCCTCTATTGTAGTTCTTAAAGTGTGTAAACCATAAGACATATCGTGGCTGCAATTTCAGATCAAAAGGTAGATTAGGGGAGGCTGTCCCTATGGGGCCTAGAGGAGAGAAGATCTCTGCAGCACCTCCCTGCCAGACGCACAGGAGATCAAGAAGATAAGGGGGGGGTAGCTTGACCTCACAACCAAACTTAAACCTTGCTTTATCATACCATCCGGTAGAGGAAGTGTCCCTGTGCATTCATCTCTTCTTCCTGACATTTGAGTCAATTTAGATCCAATTTAGATCAAAGTCTGCTCTGGGAGATTTCAAGAATTGTTCGTGAGGAATCGGGTAGGGGTATGGGGTTGTTAACCTTGAAGAGCTTATAGCCTAGTTGGGAAAATGATACTTACCGATGTGAAAAAATTTTTGGCAGTATAAAAACAGTGTAATACAGATCTAATCTAGTATGTATGGTCCTTGGAGACAATTTTGCCATGACTTGGGTATTTAATTCCCAAAAGTAATGTCCTCATTTAAAGGAAGAAAGTAAATATTTTATTTTATTTGGGTACTGGGGATTGAACTCAGGGGCTCTCAACCACTGAGCCACACCCCCAGCCCTATTTTATATTTTACTTAGAGATGGAGTCTCACTGAGTTGCTTAGGGCCTTGCTAATTTGCTGAGGTTGGCTTTGAACTCACAATCCTCCTGCCTTAGCCTCCCAAACCGCTGGAATAAGAGGTGTGCATCACCATGCCCAGGTAATTTTTCGACTTTATATGTGGATTAGTTAGGGTGCCTTTGGGTGCAAGAATGGAACACATACATCCAATGGATTGGGCCTATTTATTTATTTATTTATTTGAGAGAGAGAGAGAGAGAGAGAGAATTAATATTTATTTTTAGTTTTCAGCGGACACAACATCTTTGTTTGTATGTGGTGCTGAAGATCGAACCCAGGCCGTACGCATGCCAGGCCAGTGCGCTACCGCTTGAGCCACATCCCCAGTCCAGCTCATTTATTTATTATCACAAAATAAACAATCTCTGTTGTGCTCATTAAATTGATGATTTTTGCCCTGCTTGGGTGTTGGATGGTGAAGTCACATTCAGGTGTGACCATATCCAGTGAAGCAAAATATGAAACATTTTCATCCAGTGTATTTTTTAACATCTTTATTTTTTTTAAATTTATTTTTTATGTGGTGCTGAGGATTGAACCCAGTGCCTCACATGTTCAAGTGCTCTGCCACTAAGCCACTACCCCAGCCCCAGTGTATCTATTTTTATTAGGGAGAAATTCCAGAAACTCCCTACCAGAGCCAGGCGTGGTAGTATGTGCCTGTAATCCCAGCAGCTGGGGAGGCTGAGGCAGGAGGAACACACGTTCAAAGCCAGCAATTCAGCAAGGCCCTAAGCAAGTTAGTGAGACTCTGCTTTAAAATGAAAACTAAAAAAGTAGGCTGGGGATGTGGCTCAATGGTTAAGCACCTCTGGGTTCAATCCCCAGTACCAACCAACAAACTCCCACCCAGGCCAGCATTAGGACCGTCCTAGCTGCCAGGAAGGATGGGAGTCTGGATCTGTCATTTCACCCTGCAAAGAGGACCATGGCAGCAAGGAGAGTGCAGTGGGCATGGTTGGGGAGGAGGCTGCAGGAGCATCTGCTCTGGCTTTGTTAGTGGTGGTCATTGGAGTCTAGCAGTTGATGATGTCTCATGAACACTGTTAAATCGATAAAGGATCCAGGCACAGTGGTGCACACCTGTAATCCCAGCGACTCAGGAGGCTGAAACAGGAAGATTGCAAGTTCCAGGCCAGCCTTAGCAAATTAGTGAGGCCTTCCACACTTAGTCAAACCTTCTCTCGAAATAAAAAATAAAAAGAGTTGGGAATGTAGCTCAGGGCAGGCACCCCTGGGTTAAATCCCCAGTACTCACACACACACACACACACACACACACACACACACACACGAACATCTCTAAATAAATAAATAAAATAAATGGATAAAATTTAAAAAGGGAAGAGGGGCAGAGGTTGTGGCTCAGTGGTAGAGGCCCTGGGTTCGACCCCCAGCACCACATAAAAATAAATAAATAAATAAACAATCAAACAAATAAATAAATAAAGATATTGTGTCCAACTACAACTAAAAAATAAATATAAAAAGAAAAAAGAAAAGGGATGAGGATATAGCTCAGTTGTAGACACACACATACATACACAATCTACAGAAGAAAGTAAATGCATATAGATAATTATACTGACATTATAAATAAAGAGTGTTCAGTATATTGTTGTAAAGATCATAAAGATCATTGTTGTAAGGGTTTTGCTACATACTAGTTGAACATCCTTGATCAATTTATAAAACCTATATAAGGGGCTAGGGGTGTAGCTCCGTGGTAGAGCACTTGGCTAGCATGCATGAGGCCCTGGTTTCAATCCCTAGCACCACAAAAAGTACCCAAACAATAACAACAACAGAAACCTATGCAACTTTCAACTTTCTCATCTGGTTAGTAAATAAAATAATATAGTAAGAGAGAGAACAGGCATACCATACCTCCCTTTAGCATAGTTAACAAGAAAAATATATGGTGTGTATGTTAATTTCTCCTTGTTGCCTGGGAGAGTTGGAGTGTTTACCTGTAGATGATCTATGGGTCAGATCCATCTATCCCTGTCAAAACTATCCTTTTTTCCCACAGACTGGTATGGTACTTCCATAGACAGAAACCTTATAGATGCTGTAATTCTGAATGCTACCAGAATTGGACATGGATTTGCTCTGACCAAACACCCAGTAGTCAAGGCTTATACTCAGAACAAGGACATCCCCCTAGAAGTGTGTCCCATCTCCAACCAGGTAGGCACAACCCTTGGGGCTGATCTTATGATCTTCTTGCCCCCACCTCAACCTCTGTTTTTACTTTTTCTCTATAATTTCTCTCTCCTTTACTTGTTCTTCCACTCTCCCTTATCCATTAATAAAGTTATTTAGGAATGGCCTTTTGCCTAAACCACTCATAATAAGGAGGCAACAGTCAGGGTCCTAATGGGTGGGGGAATTTGAGCAAAGCTATGCCCAAAGTGAAAGGGAACATCAGGCTTTTAGAAGTTAAAGGGGCCATGGGATATTGCTGCTTCCAGCTGTTTCTTGGGGCTGTTTGTGCATCTGTCTTGCTGTATTTGAGAGACTTCTCTGAGCAAGACTCAACAGTGAGTCAGACATTGGTGCTGCTGATAAAACTCTGGGAACATTAGGAAGAACATGGGAACTAGTTCAGAATGGGGATGGGGATAATAGAGGAGCTGAGTGAGCTCACAGCCTCACCTCCCTCGTGATGAGTCTTTTTACAGATCTGCCGATCAACATTTGCCTTTCTCCCATGCCTCCTACTGAACAGGTCATGAAACTCGTGTCTGATATGAGAAACCACCCAGCAGCTGCTCTGATGGCCTACGGGCATCCCATGGTGATCAGCTCTGATGACCCAGCTGTCTTTGGTGCTAAAGGCTTGTCCTATGACTTCTATGAGGCCTTCATGGGCATCGGGGGGAAGAGGGCTGACCTGAGGACACTCAAAAAGCTGGTCACAAACTCTATCAAGTGAGTGTCCTGTGTCTTTCCCTGAACCTGCCCCTCCCTACAGCTGTTTCTCTTTTCCTGCTTGGTAGTACAGGGTAGGGAACCCAGGACCTTGCCCATGATAGGCGAGCGCTCTACCACTGAGCCGCACCCCATCCCACCATTTGTTGGCCTTTCCTTAGAGATTTGAGACAGACACCTCAGTGGTTTCTGTGGTTCTCCACGTTGTCACTGGTTTGTTCTTGCTTCCAGACTGGGGAGATGTGTCCTCTGCAAGAATCTCAGGTCCCCTCCTGTTTCCTGTCCTATTCCCATTTCCTTCCCTGGGGCTGACCTGTGCTCTTCTTCTTGCAGGTATAGCTCCGTGTCAAAGACACAGAAGGACCTTTTTATGAAAGTCTGGAAGCTCAAATGGAATCAGTTCATAGATTATCTGGCCAGGAGGCCAAGGTGAAGAGAAGACGGCCACTTATCATCTCTGCCTCCCTCCACCGGCTTCTTCACCTTCTTTCAATGATTCTTGAACCCACTCCAGGAGAGCCTCCCCCTTTATTTCATAGCAAAACTGATCTTGTGAAGGTCATTGCTGGCCTGATATTGCTTGATTAGAAACACTGGACCAGATGTCCAAACTCATGTTTCTCAAATATTCTTTTAATCACAGTGACATCTGCTCTCTTGTTTTTGTCCTCTTTGCTGGCCACTGCTCCGGGTTTCCTTTTCCAGAGTCTCTTCTCTATATGGTTGGATTTCAGGACTCAATCTGGGTCTATTCTTCTAATCCTAATTGTGTGACCTTCATTCCTGCCTTTCTTTTTTTCCCCCCTCTCCTCCCTCTGAATTCATTTCTAGCTAGTCTCATCTATTCCTTTGATTTTTAAATACCATGGATTTGCTGATGATTCCAGAATTCATCGATTCACTTGGAAAGCTCACTAGGATCTCAGAAGCCTATCATGTGCCATGCTGAACTCTCAACCTTCTGGACCCTTTTTTAATTCTTTCCCTTGTCTTTCCGACCTTGGTAGACTGTATTTCCACCTATTCTCCCCAGTTGCTCAAAGCAGAAATTTTCAGGGAGATTCTTGATCCTGCTTTCTTTCCCACTTCCCACATCCAAATGTATCTCTAATCCCTCTGTGTCTTTTCTCCGTTAGCTGAGTCCCAGCCACTGTTATCCCCTTGCCTGAGGTTTCACAATAGCCTCCCAATTGATCCCCCTTTTGTTACCAGCAGCCTAGCTCAGGGGACCCTGCCTGGATCCTGGCTGGCTGGTTTCTGCCACCCTCCCACATAATAGGCAAAGGTTGGGAAAAAGAAAAGTAAACTTTATGTAGTTTGAGCAAACTGGGAAGAAGTAGCTAGATTGCTTTGTACCATTAGGTAACACTTTTCTTCTCTTTGTGCTTTCTGATTCATTTTTCACAGTTTAATTTTTTTAACTGTTAAAAAATTAAAATAAATCAGGATACTTTGTTGTTTACAACCCAGTGCACCGAGAATAAAACCCAAATGTTGCAGCAAGGCACAGAGCATCCTGTCTAATCTGGATCCCTTCCAGCATCATCCTACCCAGAAACCCCTAGTACACCAGAATCAGGCCACACTGGTCCTTTGTTCCCCAAGTGTCCCAAGCTGTACCCCCTGCCAGGGCTTTTTCTTATTCTCTCTGCTTGGAACATGCTCTTTCCATTCTTGTCTAATTCACTCCTGTTTACCCTTAAAGTTTCAGGCTCATGTCACTGTCTCAGGAGGTTTTCTCTGTCCCCTAAACTGTTATTCTGCCTTGAGGTACTTTGCTCTTTTCCATCACAATTCCTGCCACCATTTGTAATTGCATATTTATTTGTTTACAGTGTCACCTCACCAGGCTGTAAACTCTATGTGAGCAGGCACTGATGACTGTTTCTCACAAGCTACACATACTCAGAGCAAGCTTATTTATGTTCCCAAACCTAGTTAGTAGGTTAGCACTTAATAAAGGTTGTGTTGAATGCACAGGGGCATCTGTATCTGTGTTGTTGTTAGTTTTTTTTCTGTGTGTGTGTGTGGTGCTGGGGATTGAACCCAGGGCCTCACACATGCTAAGCACTTTAGCACTGAGTCATATTCCCCAAACCCCTCTGTATCTGCTGAGTTGATTGCTGAGATAGGAGGGAATATAGTCGTCTCTTCACCAAAAGGCCTCCTGTGATCAGATTCTGGCTCCTAGCCTGGTCTGTGGAGAAAGAAGGCAAGAAGCCAACTATTTTCTCAGTCAACTACAGGATATGAAGGAGAATCAAGAATTCTTATCCTGGGCGCTGTGGTGCCCCACCTGCAATCCCAGCGACTCTGAGGCTGAGGCAGGAGGATTGCAAGTTTCAGGCCAGCCTAGGCAATTTAGTGAGGCCCTATGCAGCTTAGCAAGACTCTATCTTAAAATAAAAAATAAAAAGGGCTGGGGATGTAGCTCAGTGATAAATTGCCCCTGGGTTCAATTCTCAGTGTGTGTGTGTGTGTGTGGGGGGAGAGAATTCCTTTAAAGTCCCTCGAGCTGGGAGGCTGAGGCAGGAGTCTTGCAAGTTGGAGGCCAGCCTCAGAAACTTAGGCTCTAAGCAACTTGGCAAGACCTTGTCTCAAAATAAAAAATGAAAAAGGCTGGAAATGTGGCTCAGTGGTTAAGCACTCCTGGGTTTAATCCCTGGTTAAAAAAAAAAAAAAAGTCCCATGTAGATTTAAATCTCTTTCCATCTATCATCCATCCCCTGCATCTGAGGGCAGCATCCAGCCCTCTTTGCATTTGTAGTTTATTGCTGTTTGGCTCATGGTACTGGGAAAAAAGCCTTGCTGCCCACAGGTCCCCAACCACAAGCTATATCCAGGTGTAACTTGACCTCTAAGATCCCGTCTGATTCATTGCCTTCACCAATCCTGTAGATGCGCTTAGGTCCAAACTCAGCTGATTTACATTAATAACTGGTGAAAAAGGGACGTAGCAGAATGGGTTTTTGGAGCAGGTTGCCATGGCTACAGGGGCCTCCAGCAGAGGTGGGAGGTCTCTATCCTGGACTCGGTGTCTAATTTGGCAGGATGGACCAGCAAGTCTTTACTTCATGTTCAGTTCTTTTTTCTTTTCCTTTCTTTCTTCCTTCCCTTTTCACTCTCTTCTCCCAAATTCTTTTTTTCTTTTCTTTCTTTCTTTTTTTCTTTTTTTCTTTTGCAGTATTGGGGATGGAAACAGAAGCACTCTACCACTGAGCTCCATTCCCAGCCCTTTGTAGTTTTTATTTTGAGACAGGGTCTGGTTAAGTTGCCCAAGCTGGCCTTAAATTTGTGATTCTCCTGCCTTAGCTTCCCAAGTGGCTGGGACTACAGGTGTATATCACTGTGCCTGGCTCAGATAGTGATTTTTTTTAGTTCCATTGTTTTTATTAGTTGCCACTTTATTGTAAGGAAGAACTTTTTCACTGTGTGGCTCATGGATTCTGATTTTACTCAATGGGCTAACATCCATTAATATTGGGTTCAGGGTGTATGTAGCTCAGCGTTGTAGTACTTGCCTAGCATATGTGAGGCCCTGGGTTCAATCCCTAGCACCACAATAAATAAAATAAAATAAATTCCATTAGTACTGTAACCCCAGCAACTTTAAGGCAAGAGGGTCACAAGGTCATCCTGGGCAATTTAGCCAAACCATCTCAAAAATAATAATTTAAAAAAAATGTCTGGGGATATAATACTTAGGGGAAATACTCAGGAGAAAAGCACTCTTAGGTTCAATCCCCAGTAACACTCTCCCCCCTAAAAATTAAAACCCACTAGTATCATTCATTTGTATGTTTACACTATCTCATCTTTAGTCATAGGATTCCTGTTAGGCTGGCTCCTGATAAATTCCTGTAATTTTGGTTTTTGCAAATCAGATATTGAATTTGGACACTGTACCACTGAGCTTCACCCCCAACCCTTTTTACCTTATCTTGAGACAAGGTCTTGCTAAATTGCCTAGGCTGGCCTCCAGGCTGGGATCCTCCTGCCTCAGCCTCCCTGGTAGCTAGGATTACAGGTTTGTGCCATCATGCTTTGCTGAATTCCTATAATATTTTGAGCACTTCCTTTTTTTTTTTCACTCACATGACGCAGGAGCAGGAGGATTGCTTGGATCCAGGAGTTTGGGGCCAGCTTGGGCAACATGAGAAGACTCTGAGCCTCCATCCCCCACAAAAAGTCTTTCAAATATATATAAACCTGGGGACATGGTGTCACAAAATCTGAATATAACCTGTTCTGGGTTCATTCTTCACTTGGTACAAGGAAAACACGGAGGAAGTAGGTTGAGTTGAAAAGTCTAGCTAAAATGAGGTAAAATTGGTAGGCTCTAAGCAACTCAGTGAGACCCTGTCTCTAAATAAAATACAAAATAGGGTTGGGGATGTGGCTTAGTGGTTGAGTGCCCCTGAGTTCTATCTCTGGTACCCCTCTCCAAAAAAAAAAAAAAAAAAAAAAAAAAAAAGTTAGGAGCTGATTTATAGACTGATAGAAATCCTAAAAGGCTAACTATATCCTACTTTCAAGAAAAGTTGCTCCAGATTTCCTCAAGATGTACCTGCTTAACTTTTAAAAGTCATCAAAATAGGATTTTGTCACTGGCCTTAGCTAGGCAAGTGCTGTACCGCTGAGCTACACCCCCAGTTCCTAAACATTATTTTCACACAGAGTATCTTTCACTTTTTTTTTTGGTACTGGGGATTGAACCCAGGGGCTTAACCACAGAGCGACATCCCCAATTCCATTTTACTTTTATTATTTAGTTTTGAGACAGGATCTCCCTAAGTTGCTTAGGGCCTTCCTAAATTGCTGAAGGTGGCTTTGAACTTGCAATCCTCTTGCCTCAGGCTCCAGGGTCGCTGGTATTACAGGCATGTGCCACCATACTACAATGTTACTTTTAATAGCAGTCATTCTAAAAAACATAACCTCCTCTGTCCTTGCTCTATGTGAGAGGGGTATTATTTAAACATCTGAGGGCTGGAAGAGCTCTGAGGTACCTGGAGTATAGTATGTGGAGGGGAACAATTTTGGTTCTGCTTTGCCCTGAGAACACCCATATCCTTTAATGCTCACCCATAATGGTGCCACCAGACAGAGCTACTGGTTTCCATGTTGGCAGGGCTTTTCACCTGGACCCAGTCTTCCAAAGGGCCTTTTCTGAGGAACTGTTCAGAGACCAGACCTTAGGGGATGACCTGTCCTGATTCAGCCAGACCTCCCTGAGGCTAAGCCAGCTCTGCCTTGGGGAAGGGTGGAGTAAGGAGTTGTTTACATTTGTAGAGTATGTGAACTAACAAAGGCCTAACATCCTCTAAACCCAGGGGTGCTTTACCAACTGAGCTACATCCCTAGCCCTTTTTAATTAATTTATTTTTTGGAGACAGCTTCTCTGGCTAAATCGCCAAGGCTGACCTCCAACTT